CAAAACCCCTGACCAGGGACCATGAAATTCACAAATTTGGAAGAGGCATCTTTCCTCATCATAACTATGTACATGGTTTATTGGTTTCATACCCAGGAGCAGAGAAGAAGATTTTTGAAGAATTAATGCATTTTCACTATATAATCAATACAGCCCTGCCCTAACACCAGAACCCTTGACCCTGGGGCAATAAAATTCACAATTTTGGAGGATGCATCTTGTTAATCATAACTATGTACTTAGTTAGCTTGTTTAATACCGAGGAGCAGAGAAGAAGATTTTCAAAGAATTAATATTTTTTTCACTATACAATCAATAGAGCCCTGCCCTAACACCAAAACCCCTGACCCATGGGCCATGAAATTCACAATTTTTAAAGAGGCACTTTTGGTCATCATAAATATGTTCTTAGTTTATTTAACACCCAGGAGCAGAGAAGAAGATTTTCAAAGAAATAATGCACTTTTACTATATGATCTATATACCCCCGCCCTAACACCAGAACTCCTGACCAAGGGGCCATTTAATACCCAGGAGCAGAGAAGAAGATTTTAAAAGAAATAATGCACTTTTACTATATGATCAATATAGCCCCACCCTAACACCAGTACCCTTGATCCAGGGGCCATGAAATTCACAATTTTTAAAGAGGCACTCTTGGTATCATAACTATGTTCTTAAATAGTAAATTTAATACCCAGGAGCAGAGAAGAAGATTTTCAAAGAAATAATGCACTTTTACCATAAGATCTATATAGCCCCACCCTAACATCAGAACCCCTGACCCAGGGGCCATGAACTTCACAATTTTAAAAGAGGACTCAATGCTGATTACAATCATGTCAACAGTTTGACTGCTTGATTTCCAGAAGAAAAGAAGATTTTTAAAGATTACATTAATTTTAGTGGTTTTGGCCCCACCCCTCAGACCCCAGGGGGGCAGGGACCGTGAAATTCACAAATTTTGTTCCCCTTCTCCCATACTGTAAACGTGGAAATTTTGACGATGTGCTAATTTTGACTATATTGACGATTCTTCTTTCCTCGTCAAAATTTACACTCGTCAAACTTCAAATCATATATATAGCGTCACAACAGACATTGACCATTATACAACTTTACCGTTTAATTTTCTCGGCTTTCCTTTATTTAAACTAAATCAAAGTTACTGTTAATTTCCTTTGTAATAAGTTATGAAAACATAGTGATCTATAATCACACTTTTTAAAAACTATTGAATCCAAGCTAGTGAATCAAATACTTGCATGCGTAACTTAGCGTAATTATCACGCTGTGCTTGACCAAGTTTGTCACCTCAGGCAATGATCGCTTATAATGAAAACAAAAAGAAAAGGTTAATTTATGTAATCAAATTGTACACACTTATAGGGTTTGTACAATCTAACACACTGTAGATGGTCTAACTCAAACTCTGGCATTCATTTTTTTTTAACTTCGTGAATTCAAAGGTACATAACTCTCAATTCAATATTTCGTCAAAATTAACACTCGTCAATTTTCGTAAACAAAAAATCGTCAATTTTTCAACTCGTCAATATAACCACGTTTACAGTAGATGCTGTATACCAAACTTGGTTGAAACTGGTTCAGTGGTTCCAGAGAAGAAGTTAAAAATGTTCAAAAGTTTATAGACGTGACGAACGACGTACGACGACAGATGAAAACGGATAGCAATAGCTCACCTGAGTTTACTCAGGTGACCTAAAAATTCAAAAAGTAGGTCATAGTGACCTATTCTTACATGGGCATTGTTTGAGGACCCAAGATGCATCAACTGACAAAGTTTGATGATCATATGCCTTAAACATGTTAAAGTGTTCAAAATATTCCTCCATAACAATTTGAAAATTGAAAATTTAAAAGGTTTGTTAACATGACCTACTTTTGAGTTAACATGATGTGAAGTCCTAAGATGCCTCAACTTACAAGATTTGATGATCCTAGTCTTTACAGTAAGCAAAATATCAACAATTTTATTAAGTGTAAATTTAGGTCAACTTTGAATTGACCTTGAGACCACGCTCTTTGACCCAGGGTGATGCCTTGAACAATTTTCAATCTTCAACATATCCTGTAAATATGTAAATTTGGTGAAAATCTGCTAGGTGTTTCTGGAGAAAAAGATTTTTTAGCAACCAGTACTTGGGTTTTATTTTCCTGATTATCTTGTTTTAAGGTCCCGACCCTAGTTTTAGTATACATGGTAGCCCTTAGGCCAAGGGGTTCTTGAGTTATGGCCCATAATCTAAAAAGTTTATGCACACCACACGACGCTCAAATGGCCACAGCATTAGCTCTTTGAGCCTATGGCTCAGAAGGGTTGATTTCATTTTATATTTTAATTAAAAATTTTAATTATATGTATAATTAAACAGTGTTTGCAATTACATGGTAAATAAGCTGAACATCAGGGCTAATTTTTAAAACCACTGGCACCTAATAAAAGCATAAAAACACTTGGGAAATGCTAAAAAGGACTTGCTTAAACACAGATATAGATACCTCAGACCTGCTCTAAACAAGTTTCAGCAATGGGTTATTGTTTATCATAGTTGCCAACTCACCCAATTTTGTCGGGTTAAAACCGATTTTCAACCCATAAGCCGATTTTTACCCAATTTTTGCGGAACAACTCGAAAATCTGCTTTCCGCATTTGGTTCGTAAATTTGGTTGCACTTTTAACTTCCAGTCACAACCCAAGCTTAGAACAATGCCAATGGATTAATTATCAGTGCAGGTGTTAAAAATTAACTGGGTGTTGTTCTGACAAATCAATGTACAAGTCAATTTAAAATGGTTTCCGAAAGCGCTAGATCGTTATCAAGGCCGGCAGGAACAAATTTAACCAGAGACAATTCTCTGATTGAACCAAGAAAGAAGGATTATATGGAGATAATGAACAGTATTCAATATCAAAGTCCATAAAACAATACAAAATAGGAGCAGAGCAAACACAGACCTCCGAAACATCAGAGGTGGGATCAGGTGCCAGGTTCTTTTCATGCATTAGATTTTGCACAAATTCTGTTTCATATGAATATAAAAATAGGTCTGCTAATAACGGAGTACAATTGGCACCAATGGGAATTTCAATAGATTGTTGGAATACTTGGTCTCCACCAGAAGTCTCTGTCGAGACTGTAGCTCTACTGGTTTGTACTTATCAAAAACCATTGCACTATTTTAAGTTTCTTTGTGTAGTCTACTTGTGTGCCAACTTATTTTGAAATCAAACTAAAACTGTAGAAGGAGTAGCGTTTTAAAGGAATTTCACGGAAAATTCTATTTCTAGTAACCATGGCAACACCATTCATTGAAATCATAAACTTATGCACTATTCTTTGTATCTTAGTGTGGTCTACTTGTGTGCCAAGTTATATTGAAATCAGACCAAAGCTGTAGAAGGAGTAGCGTTTCAAAGGAATTTCACAGAAAATTCTATTTTTAGTAACCATGGCAACACCATTCATCGAAATCAAAAACTAATGCACTATTCTATGTATCTTACTGTAGTCTACTTGTGTGCCAAGTTAAATTGAAATCAGACCAAAACTGTAGAAGGAGTAGTGTTTTAAAGGAATTTCACAAAAAATTCTATTTTTAGTAACCATGGCAACACCGTTCACCAAAATCAAAAACCGATGCACTATTCTATGTATCTTAGTGTAGTCTACTTGTGTGCCAAGTTATATTGAAATCAGACCAAAACTGTAGAAGGAGTAGCGTTTTAAAGGCATTTCACAGAAAATTCTATTTTTAGTAACCATGGCAACACCGTTCATTGAAATCAAAAACTGATGCACTATTCTATGTATCTTACTGTAGTCTACTTGTGTGCCAAGTTAAATTGAAATCAGAACAAAACTGTAGAAGGAGTAGCGTTTTAAAGGAATTTCACAGAAAAGTTATTTTTAGTAACCATGGCAACACCGTTCACCGAAATCAAAAACCGATGCACTATTCTATGTACCTTAGTGTAGTCTACTTGTGTGCCAAGTTATATTGAAATCAGACCAAAACTGTAGAAGGAGTAGCGTTTTAAAGGAATTTCACAGAAAATTCTATTTTTAGTAACCATGGCAACACCATTCATCGAAATCAAAAACTGATGCACTATTCTATGTATCTTAGTGTAGTCTACTTGTGTGCCAAGTTATATTGAAATCAGACCAAAACTGTAGAAGGAGTAGCATTTTTAAGGAATTTCACAGAAAATTCTATTTTTAGTAACCATGGCAACACGGTTCATCAAAATCAAAAATCGATGCACTATTCTATGTATCTTAGTGTAGTCTACTTGTGTGCCAAGTAATATTGAAATCAGACTAAAATTGTAGGAGGAGTAGCGTTTTGAAATATTGTTTACAGACAGACGGACAGACAGACAGACAGAGGACGGACGCCGGACGCATTACTATCGCATAAGCTCTTCTGGTCTCTGACCAGTAGAGCTAAAAAACCACATAGATATTGTCAATCAAAAACTCAAGCATCTCTTTGATGTCAACTTCAGAGTACTTGTGTGTGCAATCAGATTGTATTTTAACAAAATAATTTTGCAAATGACCAGTGACCAGCTGTACATGCAGGTAAATACATTTACGAGTTCCATTTTTATTGAAAAAGAAGCTGTCAATGATATCAAAAAGCCTGGACTTTAATTTATCATGGAGAATGGTTGTGTATAAAGTTGTAAAGTCATAAGTTTTTAAGCTGCTCCTTTTGGTAAATTTTGGTAAAAAGAGAAACAATATTTATGTGGTACATATGCTGGAGGTTGGCAAGTATGTTGTTTATAACATTAAACCCTAGTGGCAGTTGAAAGCCCTACACTGCTCAGATGAGCTAAAAAGCCACTGTGAAATGTATTTTTTTTTTACAGCATTTCTTGACTTTTGTGCCACTGTTTCAAAATTCTTCAATTCAAGTTAGTTAAGAATGATTATACGAATATGACAATATGTTCATTCAGTCTTACATGTCTTTTGTGAGTTTTGTGTACATTTTTTCCAAATTAGTAGCAGCAGCGGGAAAAGGATGTCGGAGAGCTAGGCTGCGGATATAATAAAAAACTGTGGTTAACTTGTTTCCCCTTGCAGCCTCCACAATAGCAAGCTGATTGTATGGTTGTCCTACAAAAACAGAAAACACTGCCAATCATTCATCTTAAATTTACAATTTATACTGTATGTGTTACATGTACATATATAAAATTAACACTGAAATAAGTAGTTACAAAACAAGAGGCCCATGGGCCACATTGCTCACCTGAGAAACTTTGGCCATTCTGTCATTTAGCAGATATTCCCCTTTGTAATACCAATCTTGACCTTGACAATCCTAAAGGGTCATGCTTCAAACAATTTAAAATCTACACTACCCAAACATGCTTCCACATAAGTTTCAGCATTTATACTTCACATATGTATTCTTTGTGGCAAGACCTTTCATTGGATACCTTGACCTTTTGACCTTGACCTTGGAGATTTCTGTACTTATGAAAAAACTTTAATCTTGGCCTACTTTCATATTTCATATTTCCAATGAGAATACCCTACTTTGGGTACCAATATATTAAATTTGCATTTAAGAAAAGTTTAATCTTCGCTTTGTTGCCATACGGGGCATCAGTGTTTTACAAACACATCTTCACATCTTATTGCCTATATTTTTCTATGTCAAACTTGTGCAATAGAGTGAAATTTTAGATGTTTTTAATGAATTTATTTTTCAGGAAAATTCTTTGAATTAATTATTATTTTCAGAGTTCAAATTGAAATATGTAAATAAAGATTTATTTCATTCAAACTATAAATTAACGAATGTGTTTTGTTATTTTATTATTTATGAAGTCTGACAGGTAAGGTATTTCAGGTAATCTTTCTTTAGGGTTTACCTGTAGATTTGTAGCTATTTATAGATGTGTTCAGTAAGTCGACAGGTCATTCTGGATTGGTCATGTGATTTTAGAAGGGAATTTTTATTGTACATGTATTCTGATTTTTCATGCCCAAGCATTCAGATGGGTGTGAGAGTGTTCTAGGACATTTTAAGAAGTTTTTCTATTAGTTGAATTTGATATTCTTAGGTTGAAACTATTTCTGGACTGAGTTTATTCCATGATCAGGTTTGTGTTTAATTTAGGTTTTCATAATTTCTTTATTTTCCCTACTTTATCTACTTTGTGTGAATGTTTGAATGTTAGGCAGCATAAGGGAGTGAAAGTCTTTTGTGAGATTTGTATGGAAGCTGTAAATAAATTATGTAAATATAACAGCATTAAAAAGAGTTTATTTTATTTCTAAATAATTTGCTAAAATTTGCATGGAGAAAATGAGTGCTTTTAAGTTATAGAGTTCTGAAGTAAACAAATTCCTACAGTATTCATTTTTTAAATAATTCAGTACACTGAACAACATATCATTTCTTTTTACATTTAGAACACCATATTATTCAGACAGCTAGACAGCTGAGTTTTGTATATATATATATATATATATATATATATATATATGCCAGATCTTTGCGCCTCATGGGAGGTATAAAGGTTAATTGTGATTTGGTAGAAAAAATGAATTCAGCATTATTTTTTTAATATTGATGAATTACAAGCTATTTCTGAAAGTATTTAAACTCACTTTTCTTATTTGTTCAATTCATGTAATTTATGAGTTTTGCATGAGGTTATCTGTTATTTTAAATTTATTTAGTTTGTGTTCATTGGAAATTATTGAATATTCTAAGCTTATTTATAATGAGTTTATGACAAACATTGTTGTTTGAAAGGATAATAGTTAATATTGGAAATTTTGGTTTTATTTTAGGTCATTACTGCTTTGCTTGTGAATATTTGCATGCAGAGTTATTGTTCTTGTATTTATAATTTTAAAACATATTAAAGGGTCATCTTTACCATACATCTATAATGGGCAATATTACACCATCACAATAAACCCATGAATATAACCAGATGGATTGTGTTCGTTGTCTATTTCCACCTGGTTTCACTTGGATTCCCTATTGTGGCCCTGCCCTACCCCTGGGGGTCATGATTTGAACAATTTAGAATGGTTCTTGAGAAGAAGATTTTTTAATGACCCCACCCGATTTTTAAATTTTCTTGATTATCTCCCCTTGGAAGTGGACTTGGCCCTTCAATTTAATAATCTAAATTTCCCTTCACTCAAGAATGCTTTGTACCAAGTTTGATTAAAATCGGCCCGGTGGAAGAAGTTTAAAATGTGAAAAATTAAAAGAGGGCCGGACGGACAGAAAGAGGGACAGACGACGGACAACGGGTGATCAAAAAAACTCACTTGAGCTTTCAGCTCAGGTGCAAACCGAAGGGGTCATGATTTGAACAAACTTGAATCTACACTGCCTAAGGATACTTCAAGAAAAATATGCTTAATCATGGCTTTGCTATTCTTGAGAAGAAGATTTTTAAAGAATTTTTCTATATATTTCTATGTAAAACTTTGATCAGCCATTGTGGCCCTAACCTACCCCAGGTGTCATAATTTGAACAAAATTGAATCTACACTACCAAAGGATGCTTCCATATTAATATGACTAATTATGGCTTTGCTATTAATAAGCAGAAGATTTTTAAAGAATTTTTCCATATATTCTATGTAAAACTGAGATCAGCCATTGTGGCCTGGCTACCCCCAAAGGTCATGATTTGAACAAAATTGAATCTACACTTCCTGAGGATGCTTCCATTTAAACATGATCATTTATGCCTTTGCTATTCTTGAGAAGATTTTTAAGAATTTCTTTACAAATTTCTATGTAAGATTTTGATTGGCCATTGAAGCCTCGCCCTACCCCCAGGGGTCATGATTTGAACAAACTTGAATATACACTACCTGAGGATGCTTCCCTATAAGTTTCCTTTTTCCTGGTAAAGTGGTTCTTGAGAAGAAGATTTTTAAAGAATTTTCCTATATATTTCTATGATATCTTTGATCGGCCATTGAAGCCTTGCCCTACCCATTCCCCCCCCCCCCCCCCCCCCCCCCCCCCCCCCCCCCCGGTCATGATTTGAACAAATCTATATCTACACTACCTGAGGATTCTTCTATACGAATATGATCAGTCATGCCTCTGCTATTCGTAAGAAAAAGATTTTTCTATATATTTCTATGTAAAACTTTGATCGGCCATTGAAGCCTTGTCCTACCCCCAGGGGTCATGATTTGAACAAACTTGAAAATACACTACCTGAGGATGCTTCCCTATAAGTTTCATCTTTCCTTGCACAGTGGTTCTTGAGAAGAAGATTTTTAAAGAATTTTCCTATATATTTCTATGTATAACTTTGCTCGGCCATTGCGCCCCATCCTTCCCCAAGGGATCATGATTTGAACAAAGTTGAGTCTACACTATCTAAGGATTCTTCCATATAAATATGATCAGTCATGCCTTTGCTATTCTTGAGAAGAAGATTTTGAAAGAATTTCCCTATATATTTCTATGTAAAACTTTGACCGGCCATTGTGGCCCCGCCTTTACCCATGGGTTATAATTTGAATAAGCCTAAATCTACACTACCTGAGGATGCTTCCCTATACGTTTCAACTTTCCTGGCACAGTGGTTCTAGAGAAGAAGATTTTTAAAACATACCACCAAATTTTCACTATTTCTGAATTATTGCAGAATCACTTGAGCCTTCGGCTCAGGTGAGCAAGAAATCAGAAAAATTGTCCATATCTCATGAATGGAAGTGACGTCATGAATATAAAAAAATTCCAATAAGGTTCAGATCAATATCTATCAGATCTGAAAGTTTCGTGAAAATCAACCAAGCCATTTCCGAGAATTGCATGCACAAAAATTGGTCAGAAAAAAAATAATAATAGGGAAAAAGAAACCGAACAAAAACAATAAGGTCTTCCATTGAAAACAGAAGACCTTAATAATAAGAAACAGTAGAATCACTAGAAGGTCTCCCGTGAAGACGGAAGACCTTAATAAAAAGAATAAAAAAATCAACAAACAATGTCTCCCCTTTGAAGTGGAGACATAATGAGGGGCATGTGATATATAAAGGTAACTTAATGATCAAATATATTATACAATTATGGACTTCAGTGTAGGTCGATATGTGGTTATAAGGACTCATGGCAATTGATATTGACCGAAGACACAGAAAGTGTTAGTGATCATTTTCTATGTCTGAGGTCAATATCAATTGCCATGAGTCCTTATAACCACATATTAACTGTTCACTGAAGTCCATAATAGTTATATTATATAATCACTCAAATTGAATGCACTGAATGCACTGACACAGTCCTAACTGAACGGACCTGGCTGTCATTACGTCACAATGGTTAAATTCACGCTTCTTATATTATGACATCACATACTACAGCGTCGTGCCAAAAGTATTCGCGGAAAAATGGCGGCCGTCGTAAAACGTTCACGCTTTGCGTTTTTTCAAATCGTCCTAAATCATTATGCAATCGCTTTTTTGTATTTTGACATCATCCCCAAAACCGCGTAAGGTCAAAGTTTACCGTGATGTCATGTTTGACGTCTGCTAAAGTTAGAGTCCGAATATTACGGACTGTAAACAAGATGGGTAGAAAATCAAAAGAACTGTCACTAGAGATAAAACAGCTGATTATAGATTTGAAAGAAAACGGACATAAAGTAAATGAGATCTCAAGAATTATGAAAATTCCCGAATCTACATGTAGATCAATTTTGAAAACATTTCATCGGCGAAAAAGTGTGGAAAGAGCTCCTCGTTCGGGACGTCCCAGGAAAGTGTCAAAACGTGGAGAAGTAAGATTACTTCGTATGGTTAGGAAGAACAGGGGAAGTGTTTTGAAGGATATAACAACTGATTTTAATGATGGAAATTATTGTGAACCTATTAGTGAACGGACAGTCAAGCGGATTTTACATAATAACAAAATTTACAGAAGAGTAGTGAGAAAACGTATGGTTGTCAAAGAAGTAAATAGAAAGAAACGTTTAGCATGGTGCTTACTCAAATGAAGATGGACTGTTGAACAAAACTGGAGACCTATCATATTTAGTGATGAATCTCAAGTGGTTATAGGGCAAAATAATCGTGTTGTAGAGGAATATAAACGTGCAAATAATATTACAAGGTAATATTAAGGTATGGTGTGGCCAGCAAACCAAGACGACAATGCGCCGGTACATAGAGCCCGTGTTGTAGAGGAATATAAACGTGCAAATAATATTCGAGGTATGGTGTGGCCAGCCCAGAGTCCGGACATTAATATCATTGAAAACTGTTGGCATAGAATTAAAAGACAGATCCAAAATCACGCCGGAGATATTACCACCCCTGATCAGCTGTTCGATGTTATTTTACACACTTGGCAGAATTTCACCATAGAATATATTCAAAACCTTTATAAATCCATCCCAAAACGCATCATGGCATGTATACGATCCAAGGGACATTTAACAAAGTACTAAAGGTAAGCGTTTGTTTTGTTTTTGTTGTATTTGGGTGACTTTTATGTTGCAAGCACGATAACTCTCAAATCACGTCCGCCATTTTTCCGCGAATACTTGTGGCACGACGCTGTACGTAACTTTAGTGCAAATGAACGACGTGTCGTGCGATATTATTTTCCGTGGACGCACTTCTTTGTCGATATCACAAAAGGAAGAATATCACGTGACATACTTTCAGCCAATGAAAACTACGAAAATAATCTTTATATAATATCATAATTTAATGAATTTACATTTGTTATCACAGGAATTTTTTGTTTTTTTTTTTTTACATCAGATTGTCCAGAAATATCATTTGTATGTAAACATATGCAATCAAAACACAAAAACATTGATCTGGAACAGAATTAAATCAACTTATAGTAAATCAATATTCCATAGAGAACTTACCATTGAATGGCACAAGGTTTGCAGCATGCCAGTAAAATGTTTGGGCTTGTTCAACCTGTTGTCTGTATCGAGCTGAAAAAAGGTTTGTAAATTTAACTATATATTTACATTTTGTTGAGCACTGGTATTAAGACTGTATGTGAAACAGTAAGTATACTCGTAATCAAAGCTTATTAAGGACATTGGCAAGTCACAGTAATCTGGAGAAAAAAGGTTTAGATTATGTTGGGGTTTTTTTCATTTTATGAAACAGTCAATTCGATAAACTTGCCCCAAATGAAATTATTCATGAGTGATCTCCCATTTATGGAACTCTCTAGACTGTGAAAATCGTAAATATATTAAGGTAAAGATGAAGCAAGCAAGATCATCATCAACAGGTAGATTCTTCACAACTTTCAAACTAAAATAATAAACAAGAGGTCCATGGGCCTTATAGGTCACCTGAGCATCATGCAACAACTTTCCAACAATTGAATTTGGTCTATGTTTTAAACTTAAGACATCATGGCATTCACAATTTTGAAAGAGGCACCATTGCTAATCATAACTATACACTTAGCATGATTAGTTTGGTTACTTTAAACCCATAAACAGAGTAGGGGAACAAAAGAAATGCATTTCAAGTAATCAGTAATATTCAGCAATAATCAGTAGTGCCAATACCACACATGAACCCCTGACCATTGGTCCACATTTTACAATTTTGGAAAAGGCACCCTTGCTTATCAAACATGTTTGATTAATACCAAGAAGATTTCAATCCATTAATGCATTTTTAGTATATAAGTATGGTATCCCTGACCCAGGGGCCTTGAAATTCACAATTCAGGAATAATGGCCCTTGCTAATCATAGCTATATAAGAAGTTCATCTGTTAAATACCAAGGAGCAGAGAAGAAAATTTTCAAAGATTTAATGAAGGATGTGGAGATAACAAACAATATTCAATCTCAAAATCCATAAAACAATACAAAATAGGAGAAGAGCAAACACAGACCTCTGAAACATCAGAGATGGGATCAGGTGCCATGGAGGAGTGAGCATCCCCTGCTGACCGGTCACACCTGCCGTGTGCTCCTTGTCATGATCAGGAAATAACAGAAAAATCCGTCCTCAATTCAGTGTATAAATAATGGACTAACAATTGGTATGAAAAACGTCAGTCAGCATTTGACTCAATGATAAATTGTATTCGCTGACAAGGTCATTGTATCGACCATAGAACTTACGAAATGATGACTTTAAACGAGACTGCTGATATTCTTGTTTCATCAACTTGCTTGTCAATAATTTACCTCATTTTAGAAAATGTTCATATATGTAAAGCATGCTCTTGCGTAACGAATCAACTGAGATATATATACTCTGTACGCAGGTGATGAAGGTATATTGCTGCATTATTAAGGGAAGTTGACGATAGAAAAATTAAAGTCATCACGTTTATCATATAGCTTGGTTGTTAGATTACCATTAACATCTTTTTCAAGTTAAATATCCAAGTATGATACAGATGTGTCAGACTCTGTGGTATCTTTTGTCTCAAGCTCACCGGGATATATCGTGTCGACATAGGAAAATCACTATATAATTAATAGAACCCCATCCTAAAACCAGAACTCTTGATCCTGGAGCGATAAAATTCAATATTTCAGAAGAGGCATTCTTGCTCATCATAACTTATCACTTGGTTAGTTTGTTTAATATCCAGAAGCAGAGAAGAAGATTTTCAAAGAAATTCTGCATTTTCTCTACATAATCAATGGAGTCCCACCCTAACAACAGAACCCCTGACACTGGGGCCATCAAATTCACAATTTTGGAAGAGGCAGTCTTGCTCATCATAACTATATACAGTGGAGCCTCATTTATCCGGACGCTTTGGTTCCCAGTCAATTTGTTCGGATAGGTGAAGCGTCGGGATACCTGAATCACCAGTTAAACAAGACAGTATAACATTTTAAAAATCCGTTCCGATGAAAAATCGTCCGGGTACTGAAGCATCCGGATATCTGGTCCACTGTACATGAACTTAGTTTGTTTATTTAATACCCAGGAGCAGAGAAGATTTTCAAAGAATTAATGTATTTTCACTACATAATCAATAAGAGCCTCACCCGAACAACAGAACCCCTGACCCTGGGGTCATAAAATTCAGGAATTTGGAAGAGGCATTCTCCCTCATCATAAATATGTACTTTAAAGTTTATTTAATACCCAGGAACAGAGAAGAAGATTTTTAAAGAAAAAATGCATTTTCACTATACAGTCGCACCTGCTGTTACGGCCACCCGGAATCAGCGGCCACTCCTCATGAGTGGCCAGTTTCAATCCCGCCCGTTCAATTTTTCACTATATTTTAACTCATTTAAGCGGCCACCTGTCTAACGCGGCCAGTGGCCAGTGTTTTTAGGTCCCGTGCGGTCAACATGCCTGTTTCCAGCGGCCATTTTGTCCGTTTTGTCACATGACTTCCGTCTGACACGTGACCTCGTATCCTCTTACGAAGCCAAACATGAACAGCTGATAATGAGTAAATGACCAATAATTGCAGGTGTAATTTGAATTCTGTCAGGATTTAATGATTTAATTAATATGATTAAATGATTTATTGTGAACATATGTATTTTAGTGTTCTTAATATACGAAAGTTGTTGAATATTTTCATGAACTCAATTTCGCCTGAGGTTATCAAGTCAAGTGGTCAGTCTCATGTTTTAACCTTTTATGTTATATAAATAAATATATATCTAGAAAAAACTAAAAAACTTTACACAGCATCAGGGAAACGCTCAGTTGTTAGAACATTTCATGATTTTCTTGTGATGTAAGTTCTATGGCTGTAAAATTAAATTACCAACACATAAAGAAAAGAAAAGACTTCTTACAGAAATTCATGTAAAATGAAATGTAAGAAAATGGATGTAAATTGACTTAAAATTTTCCAAGTTTTTAAATGTGTTGAAATCGGATTTGGATACATGTGAAAATAAATAAACAACTGTGAATCGCAATTTTTTATTCATTGGATTGAAACCTGGAATAAGTGGCCACCTGTCTTATGTGGCCAATTTATCATTCTCCCACGAGTGGCCTCTTAAAACAGGTTTGACTGTATAACCAATAGATCCCCACCCTAAGACCAGAACCCCTTACCCTGGGGCCATCAATTTCACAATTTTGGAAGAAGCAGTCTTGCTCATCATAACTATATACATGTACTTAGTTAGTTTATTTAATACCCAGGAGCAGAGAAGAAGATTTTCAAAGAAATAATGTATTTTCACTACATAATCAATAGAGCCTCACCCGAACAACAGAACCCCTGACCCTGGGGTCATAAAATTCAGGAATTTGGAAGAGGCATTCTCCCTCATCATAAATATGTACTTTAAAGTTTATTTAATACCCAGGAACAGAGAAGAAGATTTTTAAAGAAATAATGCATTTTCACTATATAACCAATAGAGCCCCACCCTAACAACAGAACCCCTTACCCTGGGGCCATCAATTTCACAATTTTGGAAGAAGCAGTCTTGCTCATCATAACTATATACATGTACTTAGTTAGTTTATTTAATACCCAGGAGCAGAGAAGAAGATTTTCAAAAAATTAATATACTTTCACTATATAATCAATAGAGCCTCGCCCTAAACAACAGAACCCCTGACCCTAGGACCATAAAATTCCCAATTTTGAAGGAGGCATTCTTGCTCATCATATCTATATACTTAGTTAGTTTGTTTAATATCCAGGAGCAGAGAAAAAGATTTTCAAAGAATTAATGTATTTTCACTATATAATCAATAGAGCCTTGCCCTAAACAAAAGAACCCCTGACCCTGGGGGTATCAAATTCACAATTTTAGAAGTGGCATTCTTGCTCATCATAACAATGTATATGTATTTAAAAGTTTATCTAATACCAAAGAGCAGAGAAGATTTTTAAAGAAATAATGCATTTTCACTATATAACCAATAGAGCCCCACCCTAAGACCAGAACCCCTTACCCTGGGGCCATCAAATTCACAATTTTGGAAGAAGCAGTCTTGCTCATCATAACTATATACATGTACTTAGTTAGTTTACTTAATACCGAGCAGAGAAGAAGATTTTAAAAGAATTGATGTATTTTCACTATTTAATCAATAGAGCCTCACCCGAACAACAGAACCCCCGACCCTAAGGCCATAAAATTCGGGAATTTGGAAGAGGCATTCTCCCTCATCATAAATATGTACTTTAAAGCTTATTTAATACCCAGGAACAGAGAAGAAGATTTTTAAAGAAATAATGCATTTTCACTATAAATGTACAATCAATAGAGCCCCGCCCTAGCACGAGAACCCCTGACCCTGGGGTCATGAATTTCACGATTTTTGTAGAGGACTTAAGGTCATTACATTCATGCTAACAGTTTGACTGCTTGATGTCCAGGAGTAAAGGATATGATTTTTAAAGATTTCATTAATGTTATTGGTTTTGGCCCCACTCCTCAGGCCCCGAAAATTCACAAAATTTGTTCCCCTTCACCTATAGATGCTTTATGCCAAATGTGGTGGAAATTGGTTGAGTGGATGCAGAGAGGCCTTGCAGAAATCATTCCTGACTTTGAAATACTTCTCAGGAATTCCTAAGATGCCCCAAGAATTCTTAGGATTTCCTCACAATCTGATTTGAGGATATCCTAAAACTAACAATCCTGAGATTTACATGTAAATTCAGGACATCCTGGGAGGCTGGGATCTCCCAGGACTTTTTTGTTAAACATTTCAAATCTAAATCTTGCCAGGACATTTCAATGGAAAGCCAGGAGTTAATTATTTTTATGATAATCCCATTTTCTAAGACTTTTGACTAAATGTTGGGTCTTTCATAAACAAGACAAATTAAACTTTATAAACATTTACATGTTAATAAATGTTAAAACAGAATGACAAGAATTTATAATATTGCTTTTATTGAAAAATATCCAGAAAATCATTAGATCAATAAATTTTCGATTCTGACATATTATACTTGATACATAGAAAGACACTGGCCCAAGAACAATTTTTTTTCTATTAAATATTTTCTGAAATACTGATGCCGTCATGGAGTGTTATAATACGTTTTAAAGAGAACAAGAGGCCCATGGGCCTTACAGGTCACCTGAGTATCATACCACAACTTTCCAATGATTGAATTTGGTTCATGTTTTAAACTAGATGCCATGGAATTCACAAATTTGAAAGAGTCACCATTGCTCATCATAACCATACACTTAGCAATTGCTTACTTTGGTTACTTAATACCCATAGGCAGGGTAGGGGATCAAAAAATGAATTTCAACTACAAGTAATTAGTAAAAATGTCTACAGGGAAATGTTCGCCTCCATTTAATTTTCACCCCTTTCATCCTACCCTCATTTAGGCAAATTTAATCAGTGAATTTAAGGAATACAGTATTAATTTCTTAAACAAAACAATGAGTGGGTAAAATTTAACAAGAGGTCCATGGGCCTTATAGGTCACCTGAGTATTGTGTAACAACTTTCAAACAAATAACTTTGGTTCGTGTTTTAAACAAGAGGCCATGAAATTTACAATTCATAATTTTGCTTATCATAATTATAAACTTAGCATGCTTACTCTATTAATTAATACCCAGAGGTTGATCAGAGTAACAAAGAGAAAATGCATTTCCACTTTATAACCAGTTTTGCACCTCTCCCCAAAGGAACCACGGACCATGGTGCCATATATTTCAAAATTTTGCAAATTTTATCATAAAATGGTTGATTAATACCAAAGAGTAGATTTCAAAGCATTAATTTATTTTCAGACTATGTAACCCCCCCCTACCCCGACCCAAGGGGGGGCATAAAAAATAACCATTTTGCTAGATACACCTTTCTTCATCATAAATATATATACTTGGATCATTGGCAAAAAACCCAGGAGCAAAGGAAAAGATTTTCAAAGAATTACAGTCAAACTTGTCATAGCGGTCACCTCTATCCAGCGGTCACTTGTCCTATGCGGTCATTTTATTTCCTCCCAATGAAATTTCCTATATAAATTAACTCTATTTAGCGGTCACCTGCGTAACGCGGTCAGCGGTCACCTAATTTCAAACGAAATCGCCACTTTTCCCTGTCTTTAGCGGCCATTTTGTCCAATCACGTGATCTGATCTGGAGTCAGCTGATTCCCAATTTTTGTTACTAATGTAAATAATCAGTCAAGTGTTGCGGGATCGTGAATAAAAATTAATAAATGGAGCAATTATTTTACTGGATAAGCATATTCAAGAATCATTTTACTAACTAAATGCTTCTATATTTTACAAAACTCGAACAACTTCAGTATGCTTATGACGAAAGAAGTTAACAGGAAAAAAAACGAATACTATAACTGATAATCAGGGTCTTATAACTTCTGGAATTTTAATTTAGTTTTAAAAAAGAACAACATATGAACTACATTAATCTATATATTTATATTTTATTTATTTATTAATGACTATGATATTTTTGTTTACTAGGCCTATTTACAGTTTCGATATGGCGCCCAACTCTGCATGATCTGAAAGTTGTAAATGTATTTGACAGGCATTTTAATTTTCACACCTTTAAAACTTGCATCATTTGTTGAAGCCATAATTACAGTTTATATACACATTGTGGCTTGGGTATGTTGTGAATTTCACAAAGGAAACATCCGTTAAGGATTAGTAATGCTTCATTGTTTAGGACACCTGTGCACCTGTTGATCAACTGAGAGTACGTCTTAGAGTTTTAATATTATACAACAAATCATGTACAGTTGTGTACATGTACCTAAAAAATACATGTACAGAGGTCAATTTTATGAATCAAGTTTAGATAAAATATTAATAATTTTTAACTGATTTTATTCATTCCTAACACAAAGAAAAAAATTGTTTTGATGGGGGATAATGCAACACCCTGTAAGTGTAAGATTCAGTATACAGGTATTTTATTAATTTTCTCGGATTCATTAAATTTAGTTTGAATCATCCATAAAAGTAATGCAACTCCTAAATTTAAAAAATTATAATTAAGTGAGATCACTAATGTCCAGTACCTAATTTTCTTGTATATTTTGTGGTGAAATACATAATATAAACACAAAACTGACACATTAAATTAGTAAATAAATTCTTTTAAAAAAAAGATGAACCTCTTTTCAAAGGTCACCTCTCTATAAAGGTCACTTTTGATGGATCCCGTATGTGACTGCTTAATACAAGTTTCACTGTAACATAGCCTCATCATAACTATGTGCTTAGTTAGTTAATTTAATACCCAGAAGTGGAGAAGAAGGTTTTCAAAGAATAAATGCATTTTCACTATATAATCAATAAAGCCAAACCCTAAGACCAGAACCCCTGACCCTGGGGTCATAAAATTACAATATTGGAAGAGGCACTCTTGCTCATCATAACTATGTACTTAGTTAGTTTATTTAATACCCAGAAGCAGAGAAGAAGATTTTCAAAGAAATAATGCATTTTCACTATATAATCTAATATAGCCTCTCCCTAGCACTAGAACCCCTGACCCTGGGGTCATAAAATTACAATATTGGAAGAGGCACTCTTGCTCATCATAACTATGTGCCTAGTTAGTTAATTTAATACCCAGAAGCGGAGAAGAGCATAGCACTAGAACCCCTGACCCTGGGGTCAATGAATTTCACAATTTTGGTAGAGGACTCAATGCTCAGTACATTCATGCCAACAGTTTGCCTGCTTGATGTCCAGGAGTAAAGGAGAAGATTTTTAAAGATTGCAATAATTTTAGTGGTCTTGGCCCCACCCCCCAGGCCTCAGGGGGGCAGGGACCATGAAATTCATAATTTATGTTCCCCTTCACCCATAGATGCTGTATACCAAATTTGGTTGAAATTGGTTCAGTGGTTTCAGAGAAGAAGCTGAAAATGTTCAAATGTTAACACATGATGGACGACGACGGACGAAAACAGATAGCAATAGGTCACCTGAGTTACTCAGGTGACCTAAAAATGGGTAAAATTGTTTGCAATTGTGAAAGGGCCAACATAACACAGGGCCAAAATGCCACTACCACACATGAACCCCTGACCCTAGGTCCAAAAATTGCACAATTTTTGAAAGACACCCCTGCTTATCAAAAATGTTTGATTAATACCAAGGAGCAAATTTCAAACAATTAATTCATTTTCAGTTTATAAGTAGAGTCCCCCCTCTATGGTACCCTGACCCAGGCAGTCTTGAAATTCACATTTCTGAAAGAAGGGCCCTTGCTCATCATAGCTATATAGGTAGTTCATCTGCTTAATACACATTAGCAAAGAATAATATTTTCAAGGATTTAATGTATTTTCACTATATAATGATTTGAACAAACTTTAATCTACACTACCTGAGGATGCTTCCATATATATATATGATCAATTATGACTTCGGCATTCTTGAGAAGATGATTTTTAAAGAATTTTCTTATATATGTCTAGTATGTAAAACATTGATTGGCCATTTTGGCCCCGCCCTACCCCCCGGGGTCATGATTCGAATAAACTTGAATCTACACTACCTGAGGAATCTTCCCTATAAACATGATCAGTCATGGCTTTGTTATTCTTGAGAGTAAGGTTTTTAAAGAATTTTCCCATATATTTCTATGTAAAACTTTAATCGGCCATTGTGGCCCAACCCTATCCCCGGGGGTCATGATTTGAACAAACTTGAATCTACACTACCTGTGAATATTTCCCCATAAGTTTCATCTTTCCTGGCAAAGTGATTCTTGACAAGAAAATTTTTAAAATATACCACCAAATTTTCACTAATTCCCAATTATCTCCCCTTGAATGAGGGCCCTTCATTTGAACAACCTTGGATCCTCTTCACCCAAGGATACTTTGTGGCAAGTTTGGTTGAAATTGGCCCGCGGTTCTTGGGAAGAAGTCAAGAATGTGAAAAGTTTACAGACAGATGGACAGACAGACGGACGCCGGACAAAATGTGATCTCAAAAGCTCACTTGAGCCTTCGGCTCAGGTGAGCTTAAAAAATTGAGATTGTTGTTTCACCCAATCAGAGCAAAGCGCACGGGCATGCGCGTGAGTTCAAGCTAGTTTGACAGTGTCATATTGTCTACACTATTAATAAATCCTTATATACAGTGGACCCTCATTTATCCGGACGCTTTGGTTCCCAATCAATTTGTCCGGATATGTGAAGTGTCCGGATACCTGAATCACCAGTTTAACAAGACAAAATAACATTTTAAAAAATCCGTTCCGATGAAAAATCGTCCGGATACTGAAGCATTCGGTTATCTGGCGTATGGATATCTGAAGGTCCACTGTAATGAGTTTCAAAGCATTTCATCAAAAATGTTATAATTAATACTGATTTGATTCAGAGGCTCCAGTCGGGGAGAAGAAATCATACATCCTTACCTATATCACCTAAGTGAACTAAGCAGTACTGGCAGACATACAGACAGGAACTTTTCTTTGGTGGTGCAATCTTTACTCTTAGAGTAGATTTTTCTTTAAAAATAAAAAAAAGGAAATATAATAAACAAGATTATAGGTTATAGTTTTTCTGTACAACGTAATTTTACGAGATACTGCAAGAATTAAAACAGCTGTATTAATGAGGTCAGTTATTGGTTTTATTAAACCACTGCACCCATAACTGCATATTCATTCATTTTAATTCTTTAATTAACAAGAGGCCCATGGGCTTTATAGGTCACATGAGTATCATGTAACAACTTTCCAACAATTGAATTGCCTAATGTTTACACCAAAGGCCATGAAATTCACAATTTTGAGAGAGGCACCATTGCTTATCATAACTAAACACTTAGCTCGCTTACTTTGGTAACTTAATACCCAGAGGTAGATCAGAGTAACAAAGAGAAAATGCATTTCCACTTTATAACAGTTGTGCACCCCACCCAACAGGAACCACTGACCCTGAGGCCACACATTTCTAAATTTTGGAAATTTTATCATGAATTTTATTTCATGATAAATGGTTGATTACTAATGAAGAACAGATTTCAAAGCATTAATTTATTTTCAGACTAAGAACCCCCCCCCCCCAAAGTTAATTAAAATTGACCATTTTCGAAGAGGCACATTTCAACTTAATTAATATGTATTTAGATAAGCATAATACACAGGAGCAAAGGAAAAGATTTTCAAAGATTTCATGCATTTTCACTATATAATCATTAGAACCCTGCCCTAACACCAAAACTCCTGACCAAAGGGCCCTGAAATTTACAATTTTGGAAGAGGCAGTCTTCCTCATCATAACTACTTATATAGTTCATTGGTTTAATACCCAGGAGCAGAGGAGAAGATTTTTAAAGAATTCATGCATTTTCACTACATAATCAATAGAGCCCCACCCTAACACCAGAACCCCTCATATCCTGGGGCAATGAAATTCACAGTTTCTGAAAAGGCAGCCTTATTCCACTTAACTATAATGTACTTGGTTATATTAGTTTAATTAATACCCAGGAGCAGAGATGAAGATTTTTAAAGATTAAAGGTATTTTTCACTACACAGTCCCTGAAACGTTCTACTTTCCCATTTTTCCGTTCGTTCACCGTTCGTTCAGCGTGCATTCACCGTTCGCTCTTCATTCACAGTACTGCGTTCACCGTTCACCGTGCGCTCGCGTTCACCGTTCGCTCTTCATTACGTTTACCTTGCGTTCACCGTTCACTTATCGTTCAGTCTGCATTGTTATTCAGAACTCCGAAGTGAAAGGACTTATCTTTTTGATGGTAAGGATTTATACGTTTTTTAATTAAATAACTTAGATATCGTGTTTGAAGAATAATTATTTCATTTCAAAAATTATACATGATATTTATTTTTCTATTTTTATAACTCAGCTGTTACTTATTTCATGAAATTTCCCTGGAAAATAATACATTAAGTACCTACATGTGTGTAGAACAATGCTAAAATATAAACTTTAACAAGAGGCCCATGGGCCACATCGCTCACCTGAGAATCTTTTGTCATATTGTTCTTTACCAGATTTCCCCCTTGTAATACATATTGTGGCCCTGCCCTACCCCCTGGGGTCATGATTTACTATCCCAGGGTGCTTCCACATCAGTTTCAGCTTTTCTGGCCCAGTTGTTCTAGAGAAGATTTTCAAAGATTTTTCCTATATATTTCTATGTAAAACTTTGATTCACCATTGTAGCCCGGCCCTACCCCCGGGGTCATGATTTGAACAATTTAGAATCTACACTACCCCACAATGCTTCTACATGAGTTTCAGCTTTTCTGGCCCAGTGGTTCTTGAGAAGAAGATTTTCAAAGATTTTTCCTATATATTTCTATGTAAAACTTTGATTCCCCATTGTGGCCCTGCCCTACCCCCTGGGGTCATGATTTGAACAATTTAGAATCTACACTACCCCAGGGTGCTTCCACATCAGTTTCAGCTTTTCTGGCCCAGTGGTTCTTGAGAAGAAGAATTTCAAAGATTTTTCCTATATATTTCTATGTAAAACTTTGATTCCCCATTGTGGCCCCGCCCAACCCCGGGGGTCATGATTTGAACAATTTAGAATCTACACTATCCCAGGGTGCCTCCACATAAGTTTCAGCTTTTCTGGCCCAGTGGTTCTTGGGAAGAAGATTTTTTAATGACCCCACCCTATTTTTGTCTTTTCTTGATTATCTCCCCTTGTGAAAGGACTTGGCCCTTCATTTTAACAATTTAATTTCCCCTTCACCCAAGGATGCTTTGTACCAAGTTTGGTCAAAATTGGCCCAGTGGTTCTTGAGAAGAAGTCGAAAATGTGAAAAGTTTACAGACGGACAGACAGACAGACAGACAGACAGACGGACGGACGACGGGCAAAATGTGATCAGAAAAGCTCACCTGAGCCGAAAATATATGAAGAATAAGCAACTCTATTCTTAAAATATCCAAAAACCTGTAAATAATATCCTTGTATTTACATAAGGCAGTAAAGAACAACTCATTATATATAATGTCAGCCATCAATGAATGCAAATATCATGAAGGATTGACCTTAACTTCGAAACAAACAGCAGTTGCAGACAAAGGTTTTCATTAATCTGAAAGTGACAGCTAAAGATAAGCCTTCAAAATTTTCTGCAGCAGGCTAGATAATTAATCCCAAGAGATTGTACTTCTCTCTCATCATTTTCGTTTAAATTTACAATTATAAGAACTTTTTCATTAATGATAAAGTGAGGGTTTTATCCAGTTACCTTAAAAATTGATATTCTTGAATTTACATTTATAAAGCAAATATATATATATATATATATATATATATATATATATATATATATATATATATATATATATATATATACATATATATATATATATGTGTAAGACTCCAAGGTCCGATGGTGATGCCAAAGTCCGATGGTCTCGCCAAACCCCGATGGTCTGCGCAAAATCCCGATGGTTTGCTATCATTACGGATGCCAAAGTCCAATGGTCACGCCAAAGTCCGATGGCTCGTTTCCTATCACACGCGCGACGCTAAAGTGCGATGGTCTGACATGCCAAGGTCCAGTGGTGCGGAGGAACAAACAATGTTTATGACGTCACAATAATCAGACGTCAATCCTTGATGCCGTTGTCACGCATTCAAAAGCCATCATTTCATAATTCGTTATCGAATACAATTTTATTGGTTTTTGCTTATTGCTTGCACCTTCCAGATACATTAGGATTAGCCCTCGCACACCACTCGGTTGATTAGGGTTAGTCCTTGCATTGTACAACCCAACAGATTTAGGGTTAGTCCTCGCACATTAGTCGAGTGATAAGGATTAGTCTCGCACCCACCAAAGATACCTAGGTTATAGTTGATGCACACTTTTCGAGCGTTTAGGGTTAGTCTCGCACCTATCTGAGAGATAAGGGTTAGTTTTCGCATTTAATAATTTTTTATTTATACTTGTTTTTAAGACCTTGGCATGGTGCGGCATTGAGGTTTGGTGCAGTAGTACTATGACGTCATAAACGTTAAATGTTTTCCGCACCATCGGACTTTAGCGTGTCAAACCATCGGGGTTTGGCGCAGACCATTGGACTTTGGTGTGACCATCAGACTTCGGAGTCCCATCGCACTTTGGAGTCCTACATATATATATATATATATATATATATATATATATATATATATATATATATATATATATATATATATATATATATATATATATATATCCATTTCTTGTTTTTAGAATTCAATGAAATCAGAACTCATTGTGCAAGATATTTTAACAAAAATAAAGTAAATGTATAAACCTTCATTATACTTAAATCCACATTTCAGAGTGTTCATAGCATTCCAAATTGACTTAATTTCAAAACAAATTTCATTTGCAGACAGAGGTGGTAATTCATCTCAATGTGACAGATAAAGATAATGCTTTGGATTTTCTTCAGGAGCAAAGTTAATTAATCCCAAGAGACTAATTGCAGTATTCAGTTTACAATGTGAACATTTTAAGCAGTTATCTCTCTTTGCCAATTCATTCTTATATAAAGTTAAGGAATCTAGCCCACCACCCCAGCTCCAAACCAGGGGACATAGAGAAACAAACTTAGCATCAAAATATGTTTTTCTGCCTACTGAATTACCATACCAAATTTGAACTTAATTGGGCAACCATAAAAAAAGTTATTAGGAAAAAACAGAAAATTTGTGGACGGAAGAATGACAGACAGATGGACAGACAGAGTGATTACTATAGGGCACCCGCAAATTCTTGCGGGGCCCTAATAAACTTGTGCCGACAGTAGTATTTTAAATTGGCAGGGAATATGTTTCAAATTCAATTTAAAACTTAACCCTTCCAAGTATATATTCTCATTATTCATTTTTTTTTTCTACAGGAATGCAAAAATCAGATCTAGAAATGATAGGGAAAAAAATTAAAACTTCTTGGAAATACTAAGTGACTCTTTGCCTTCGGCATGTTCGGTGAAACGCGACTTCCACACCCCCACTGTGTCGAATGATTTTGATTGACAGGACAAGCACGCTACTAGCACATGGACTTCCTGTGAACCGTGTGAACTTGATGATGGAAAATAAAAGCCAATGATTACTGTCAAATGGATTTGTTAATCTAAAAAAAATTAATTACCTTTACTGCTTGGAATATTTAAGAAAAATAATAAGAATTTTTATTTGATACAACAGATATCTGAGAATTGAGGGGTATCTCTCTCTTTCTCTTACTCTCTTTCTCTCTCTCTCTCGTACATTTCTCTGTTCCATAAAAACTATGACAGCACATTACTTATTTAGTTTTGAAAATTTAATCTATTACAAATAATTTGAATGCCTCTTTCCATCATCTTGACCGAGTATAATCACGGCCGGGAAATGTCTACAGATACATGTAGAAGTTAGCTAAAATAATCATCATAAAAGAATACAAAAGACACATAAATATAGATTATTTTGCATTAGAATTCAAATAAAACTAGAGTTTTTATGCAATACGTCAA